TACACGTGGACACTCTCACAAACACAACACATGACAGAATTCCCAAATACTGTGCAGGTGAATGCCTAAAGTAAGAACAAATAATCAGAATATACCTATAACTGTTTTTTTTTACGTTTAATTATAGACTGTGAAGTTTAAAAAGACTGTCAAAAAGCTTTAATTATTAGAATTTTAATTATCCATTAATTTTGCATTTGCATTTCAAGAAGTTATGTTCCAGAAATAATGATGTTAACAAATTTTTTAAAAGCTTCTCAGAGAACAGATAAGGAAAGAAGAGCATGAGTCATACACTCATGAACCAGGAGATTTAAAATAATACCAAAGGATGGTTTAAAATTAATTTTTCAAACATCTGATCCATGACTATCTGACATGTGTTTGCTGATTTAAAAGTGTATTAGAATAAGATTCTGTATTTAAATACTAAAATATGTTTTTTGTAACATTAAATCACGCAAAAATCTCTTAATTTATTTTAACAAGAAATTCAAGCAGAAGGAAGGACACAGTGGGAGAGATGGGAGTAAGAGTCTAATACTGCAAATGTTGACATCAGTTCCAAGAAAAAAGAACAAGTCATCCTTACGAAAGCTACAGGAATTATTACAGTCATTTAAAAATCATGTGGTCTTATAAAATAGTGTCCAACAACTATCACTAGAACAGCTAAGTGTTTTGCCAGGTTAGTGAGCTGCCCTGGTCTGGCAAATCAGACACAAGGGTGGATGAAGATCAGCTCAGGACAGAGGGTTGACAGGATTTGACAGCAGCGAGTTATTGACAGACCAGATTAGCTTTATCTAGTGACACTTTAAAGATAATCCTGTGTAACTGTTTGCTTTTATTTTGGTAGGGCCACTTTTATGCCAGGTTAGGAAAATAACTGCTCTTCCACATAGTTAAGCAAGTTTTACCACCAAGAGCTGGTAAAAGAAAGGAGGGGGCACATATGACCTCGAAAGAAAGGGTGAGGAGCCAAGATGAGCAGGAAGGCTCCTTTGGTACCACAAGGCTGTTACGGCGAGTACAGCTCCACGGTTGGTTTAACCACCATAGAATCACAGAATCACAGAATGGCTGAGGTTGGAAGGGACCTCTAGGGATCATCTAGTCCAACCCCTGCACACGCAGGGTCACCTAGAGCACATGGCACAGGACTGCATCCAAGCGGGTTTGAAGATCTCCAGAGAAGGAGACTCCACAACCTCTCTGGGCAGCCTGCATCATCATGAAAACATAGTTTATTTATGTTAATAGACAGTTTATTACTAGAGTACAAAACACTGAATACCTGGCTTGGATGGCTTCTTTGCTTCAGACTTCAGCCTGGATGCTAGGAGGAATCTCCTGAACCATTCCTCCTTCTCCCTACCAGTCCTGCCAAAGAGGTAAAGTACTTGATCCTTGTGGCTAGTGGATTTTGCCCCATCCTGAAGTTTCTTGGCTTCTTCGTTGCTCAAGTCTGTCTTTTCTGCAGCTAACTTTTCTTCTGCATTCTCTTTATCAGTCTGGGCCTTAGCCATGAAGTCATCCTGTCTAGCTAGTTCAATGCAAATCGGGTACTTCTTATTCCAAATTCGTTTTCTTGCCAGACTCTTGGGAACCAGGGAAATCTGAAGGATAGAAGGAAGGGTGAAATTAACCTACTTTTCAATTATAACTTCCATTTTTCTGTATTCATATGTGGAACATATGAATGCAAAAGATCTTAAGCTGGATTCACTAGGTTTAAAAAACTTAATGCATAGCTGGTTGACCTGCAGTCACCAGGTCTTTGGTTTCATAAATCCAAAAAACAAGGAGCCATAGTCATAGACCGAGGAATTTAAACAAGCCACTATTGAAGTAGCGTATGCTTCTACAACCATGTGTGTCGGAAAATCAGTTTTTATTTATTCTCTCCGCTATCCAGAATGAGAAAAAACAAGAATCTTATTTCTTTGATCACTAGGAAAGTAATGAAAAACTAAGTTTAAAACTCATTACTTTTCATGCCAACTACATAAATAGAATGTTTGAAGCAGTCAAGTCATATAACTGTGCAAGAATCAAGGAAGAAAAGTGACCTGCTGATAATTACATTCAAGTTCAGTATATTCAGAGAGAACCGAGACAATTCAGGTGATGAGAAGAGTGGTGAGAGGTACAAAATCCAATCTCAGGGCTGAACCTACCACTGTTTTCTGAAAACACTGGGCAAACACCTTGAAGAACAGCCATCATTTGCTGATTACATGCACAGCACCAGCACTTTTGCAAGTTATTTTGGAGAGGAAACAAAAAAGTACCAGAAAATTTTCTAAGACACCATAGGGAATCATAGTCAGTCAAGTGCTCTTGCAGCATCTGATAGCTTTCTTGCTCACAGGAAAATCTCTAAGAGGCAGGAATCTCTAAGTTTCTACCTCACCTTTCTTTTTACCATCTTCCTTTAAAGGAAAGCAGAGCCAATGGTAAGCTCCTTCCCCACACTGATTCAGAGAAAGGAAGGCAGGTTTTCCTCGTTGTCTTTGTCCTTCTGTCTTAGTTTGCAAAGTCAACTGAAACTTTCCTCCCACATCTGCACTACAAATGTCCTCTGTTGATAGTGTGTTAAAAAAATCCACTCTTAATTACAAAATATTAAAGTATTGCAAATGGAATCAACTTTACACTGCAACTCCCCACAGACTGGTGGGAGTCAGCAACATGCACGGAAGCTGTTCCTGCATCATCCTTGATGTGCTCTTCCAGCTGCCAAAGACCCTCTTCTGCTTCCCTAGACAGTGGGTATGAAAGGGGTTGTCCCACACACCTCACTGTCCTCTTTTGCTGTCTTGTACAGTGTGTGTCCCCACTCCAACAGTGAAATGCAGAGGTTGTCTGAACTGCCTTGGGACAGAAACACCAGCCAAGAACTGTGCATGTTCATGTAGGCTTCAGAACAATCAGCCATGCAATAATGTAGTGTATTAGGAATGACACTCTAAACTTCCACATACTAACTTCTGCTTTGAGTCATCTGAGGAAAATCATGTTTTTCCATTATTGGGTAAATATGTAGTTTTTTTGTTTTTTTAATCCTCTCAATCCTCCTCCACAGCACAATCTTTTCTGACTTAATCATGGAAACAATTTTGGTTACATAATCATAGCACATGAAACTATAATAATAATAATAATAAACTTTAAAGATTCAAAATCTTCCATAGATATAAGAATAAACTTTAAAGATTCAAAATCTTCCTTGTTAGAAGAACAGACATAAGTAAAATCTCACCTTGCTCTCTGTAAGCTCATATATTTTCTGGCTGACATATGTAACTTCAGGCTTTGGCTCGTTGTAAATAGCCCTTCTAGAAATATTTTTATTGGGTTTTGAAAGTCTTAAGGTGCTTCCTTCAAGACGCACGTAGACAGAGTGAGTCAAAGTAGCGTGATACGTTTCTGGATCGTAATTGTAAATTTCATTCATCCATCCCTAGAGAAGAAAACACTTGTTAATAAGCTTTTAAGCTCCTAGAAAACAGTACAACAGTACAACAGAAAAAGTACAGTGTGCACATGAAAGGCCTAAATAGTTCCCAAGCTTCTGCCAAATTCATGCCACTTGCTGCACAAATGAATGCAGCAATGCAGTAAGTGCCCCTAAAGAGGGCACCAGACCAAGGGAGCACGTGGTGAGGACGGCATTCCGAGCACAACGTTTGTTTTCCCAGGAACATCATCTCATCGTCACAAAACGGCGCGCGATGTGGAGACGCGGGCTGCGGGCGGCAGCTCCTCTGCTTGGGGAGAGCCCTGACATTTCCATCACGGACAATCAGGGCCTGCGTTGAAGGCCACAACGGAGTTGGTTTCAAGGCACCATCATTCCAGCAGCGCGCAATGCTGCAATGCACACATCATACAAGGGGATGAGGTGTCATCACCCAGAGCCTGCGCAGCAAGGGAAACCCTGCTGAAACAGTCTGCAGGTAGGTCCCCCATTCCTGCCATGGGGGTCACATCATGTCCCTTCTCGAACCCCTGGCTGCAGGAAGTGCAGGTGGTAAACAGAGCAGAAGAGAAGTTAAGAGTATTCATTCATCTAGGACAAGTTTTCCTTCTCTTAACCTGTCAAATGACATCCTTTATTAATGATTTCAACCTGCACTTTAAGACCTTAATTCTACATATTCGATATCAATTAATGTCAGAGTAAAGGGAAGAGCTTGGTCCTTTTGTCAAGACAGATTTAAACAGCAGTTCTCATATTCCTCAGAAAAGTTGCAACTACCATATGCAAAACATGTCAGACATTACTGCAGCTTCTTAGCTTACCAAAGAAGTTTCTACCCACACACAAAAATATAGAGTTTATTTTAATGCTCATTTACTTCAGTGACATATAACATCTTAAAAGCAGGCAGCATATAAGTTCTTAGATGCCATAGCAACAGCGGTAGCTCTTTTGCTTACACCATGATCTACTTCATTTTCACTACAACCCATAAAAAAAAAAGGTAAATTAGCATTCTTTTTATGTTCAGTAAAGATTCAGCCACTCATCTTTGCTCTGCTCCAAAGCAGACTGCCTCGTTATTTATAGAAGCACCAGTGCCAACACATGCTCTTTGAAGAAGCTTGTTTGTTTTTCTTTCTGCTTACACTGGGTATATACAAGCACCATATAGGAAGCACAACTCGAGAGGAAGGGTTTTCTATAAACCATCGCGGTTCTGCACAGCAGGGTGGATGTCTGCCTGAGCATATCCTATTTCCTTCCTAGAAATTATTAAGCCAAGACATCTCCGAGCAGACTGCAATTAATTTTGAGCCAGGAACTCCAGCTGGACTTACTGAAGCACGAGGACAGCCCAGGCCTTGCCTGAAGCCACCGCGAGCCATTCGCCCTGCGCAGAACTCGAACACCCGGCTGGGCCCCGAGCTGGGCAGTCTCCCGTCTCCCCCGGATCACGTCCTGGGCTATTTCCAGCTCCGACGCTGACGTCTGGACGCCCGCAGCCAGGGCAAGGGCACAGACCAAAACGTGCTGCCGCCTCAGAGGCCGACGGCCACCTCCTGCAGCAACGCGCAGCTGGAGACCGTGCAAGCTCACCCAAAAGAGAAAGAAAAAGCCCCAGACAGAAGATTTCCTTATGCTACATAATTAAACAATGGAGCAGAGACACTTTGGTGGATGGTGCCTTTTCCCAGCAGTGAAAGGGTCAAGACCAGTAAAGCAGAGGCCTTCTCGGATTGCACCGGCCTGTTCTGTCTCGGCATTAGCAAGTACTGGAATGTCCCACCCGCTCTGCTGATCTCTACCATGCGCCTCGGCTTTCCATCGCAAATAAATGGATTAGCTCTATAATCTGCCAAACACATTTTTTTTGTTAAACCCTGTACTGCAGGTTCCCCCGCTCGTTAACCCAGAACGGCAGCACAAGTGCAAACCCTTGTTCCTTCTCCCAGGAGGGCCAAAACCACCCCCCCAAGATACAGAACCGCTTCCCCGCTGCCAAAACTACTGAACATTCAGAATCTGGAACAGGCAGAAATTAAACACAGTAACTGCCTAAAATAGCAGCCGACACTGCAATTTCCATGTGAGAAAGAGATTGGCTGTTTCATGTACTCGAATGTTATCTGAAAAAACAAAGATACAGAAAATTAAATTCAAATAATTGGCTTCATTCAGATAGTCTCTAGCCAAGAGTCAGCACTATAATGCTTCTTGCAAATAAATTTTAAGATTGCCAGTTTCTAAGGATGCAGCTCACTGTTTGCACTCAACTTTCAAGCTATTTTTTAACACAGAGAAACCCTGCATGGCTCAGAGGCAGTTGTTAATACTTTATCAAACAACCACGCTTCACTATTAATCAATGTGAAAAGCTCTGCTGGCTGCAGGACTTTTCCCCATATATCTAACAGCGCTAAGAAAGTAAAAAAATACCATCTGCCTTCTCCTATCAGTAATTTTCATTTTTGCACAGTAAATTTTGTTTAACATGAACCATTTTTGGGAAGGTTATCCAAGAAGCTTCATAATTCCCTCCAAGTTCTCACATTTTAAGAACAATTTTAGCGGAAATACCTCCTCTCCTCTCCACAAAACACAAATGGAAAAGACTCACAACCACTGGCAACCGCTTTGAAATGCATCTAAACAGAGAAGTTATTCGCAGCAGCAATTCTGCTACCATAATCTGTGAGCAACAGATACATTTTCCTTCACCACGGAAGCAACAAGGGGTTTCTTTGTGCAGCAGAGGAGGAACTGTATGATGGTTTTTTTTGGTGCTAGCGAAGTTGTTAAAATAAGAAATTTAGTAATTTGGGGAGGACAATGGCCCCAGTCACAGGGGGCCGTGCAGCTGCTTGCCATTTGCACTGATCCTGTGATCGCCGTCGGGAAAGGTCAGCAGTTTCTCTCAATTCACAGCTGAAATTAGGAGAAAGTGCCTGACTATCAGCCTAGTAACTAACCTAAAAAGCAACTGATTAGAATATTGGGCAGAAAGGCTTTCATAGCAAAGGTCATAGACCGTATAAAAATAAAAATACCACTGGCAGGATCTGGCCAGCTTGTTAGATGGCAGAGCTGAACTTTGGCATTGAAGTGCACTGTGTCACCCTGCCACGGCAGGGCCACCGGCTACCCGAAGCCTCTCGAGAACGCCCAGGTCTGGGCACATTTTTATTTGCACTACAGTTCAACAGAATAATTCGCATAAGAATTGCACTGCCAGGCTCTGTAGGGCATCGGCCTCCTTAGGGTTATTTATTTAGGCTCTCAGGCCTGGTATACCTTAACATGGGGGGTGGTTCCAAAAGGATGTCTTAGGAAAGACTCAGGGGGCTAAGACAACAGACCGGGTCTGCAGGGAAAAATAAATAAAAACAGAAATTCTGAATCATCAAATACCCCCGCAGAGAGCTTCACAATGCAAGTCCAAATCTGGAGTACAACTGCCTCCAATGTTTCTTAGTAACGGATCAATTAGTAGCCATTAGCCTTAAATGATAACACGAAAAGCTCCAGAAGCAGAATTCTGAAATTCTTGCTACATTGTAGATCACTCAAACCCATTAGTATCCCTTATTACTGCTATTGCAAAATACTTCAAATATATTTTACTTTATAAGTAGCAAAAATATATGGGGTGCTATATAAATGTATTTAAAACAACAGGATTATACACGGCAGAATTTTCATTGACTTGGAATATAAAGACTTGTGTAAAAACAAAAAAAACAAACAAACAAAAAAAAGGTTTAAGAAATGACCATTGCCATAACCAAAAAGCTCATTTGTCTGCCAGAGGCCACTATTGAACATGAAATCCCTGGAGTGATCCTCAGGAAGAGCACGCTGCTAAAATGCCTCCTCTTTCTGTGCAGCTCTGGCTCAGAAATCTTTGCTTCTTCAGCAGGCACTGCCAACAGAGGGTACTTTTCTACTAATAAATGTGTTTTCTAATGGAAAGGGTAGATATATCATTTCCATTTTAGCTGTGACTTAAACCTTTTGTACCAGTCAACAGAGCACAAGGGAACAAATGCTCAGAAAGGCCAACAAGGAAGTCAGAAAGCCCAATACGTTCGAAAAGGGGAAAGAAAGAAAGAAAAATTACGGGCATGAAAGAGAAAAAACATGAGGAGACAAAAAAAGGAAAAGGAACCTAGAGAAATGAAGAATGCAAGTGTTTTTTTTTCTATAATATCAGACATTTGAGTGAAACATAGAAGTGTAAGGGTCAGAGAAATTGAAAAAATAGTTTGAATCAAATCAACAAACTTGCCAGCACAAAAGTACTTTATTCTTTCATGTCGCAATGGAATAGTTCTGGGGGAAAGAATGTTCATGTTCAGGTATTCTGGCAGCTGCTGAGCAGAATTTTCCATTAGTTCTTGAAATTCAAGGGAAACACAAACTTCTCCATATTTACGCAGGAACACATGTACTTGTACAAAAATAGCTTGACAGCAGTTTGGCAGAATTCCAGCTTTTAAAGCCCCATAAAATGGTCTTACATTTAGCATTTATCATCATTGCAAAAAAGCATTTCAGGCCAAAATGCAAGACCAACGAGTTCCAAATAGAGCATTTTTGTGAAAGAGATAAGTCTGATTTTCCTATATTCATGTCAGTTTTGTTACAGATTAAATTTTACCTCATTCTGCAGAGGATCTGAACTGTCCAGTGCTCTTTTTGACAGAGGCAAATAGAAAATACTTCTATGACAGGAGAAACATAACTTGCAATCTACTAAATCTTATTATATTATGCTCTACTACGATATGTGCACTATGCTGGGTTTTAAACTCTTAAAGCATTAAAAAGGCCTTTTATTAGTATATTAAAGACAATTATTTTATGTGTTAATAAGCCTAAAAATACTTATCAGGCCACACAAAACATAAATGTGCATTCATACAGAATCCTCTGCACAGTTACTTTCTAACAGAATGGCTGAAGGCAAGAAGTATCTACTTAACAGGAGCATTAAAGAAGGTTTAAAGGTTCCTGAATAACAGCTAACATCTCAAAGAGGCAGCTCAGTGTCAGCCAGCAACGAGGATCAGAACTTGTCAGCTTCAGTGATCGATGCAAATATGTATGAAGGGACTCAGGAGCCAGTTGGCAAGGACAGAACTGGAAGTTTATCGAGGTTTGTACATACAAGCAGGTAAATCAAACGGGCAGATGGGATAGTTTTTAGGTAGCGCGCTTTCTGCAGGCCGTGGTATTAAACAGCAATCTCAGCCACCTACAGCTGGGTACATAACATGGCAGAGCAGAGCACATGGCTTTTCTTAACCACATGAGGAACAGATCAAGTACAGCAGCTTGCCAAAGCCAAGACATATCCCAAAGATCAGAGCTGAAAGACCTTCTATATTTCGTCCCCATGCTCTCTAACTCTATGCTCTACTTGAACGCAGCCCTTTTGAAGCTTCTTGATTTAGTAGACAAGACAAATCACTAAGTGGTAAAATACACCAGAAACAGAGCACACCTCCCAAGGTGCAGCTTCAAGCACAAGTGTTTTTTCACCCACTAAACTCTGACACTACCGACTTCCAGTAATTCAGCAGAATCACTTCAAACCCATCGGCAAAACCATTTACCCTTCCTTGCTGAAGCAATTATTCTATTTTTCTTCTAATCTCTAGGGGAGTTGAAGTCTTATACAGTATCATCTATCTCCCTGCCAAAGCCTCTAAAAAGGACTTTAAAATGATACTCAAGTCACAAACACTTATAATCCTGGTCATTTGCACCTTTGGAATAAAACCTTTGCCAGAATAACACACACAAACACACACACAATGCCAGGACCTCACCTTCAGTATTTCAGGTTCTTTGATGTCTAGAGCTTCTGTGTTCCATTGCTTTCTCAAACTTCTACGCAATCTGAGATAGTCAGGAGTACGTGGAGTAAGAAGCCAAATCACACAGATAGCTACCATAAATCCAAGGGCAATTCCAAGTAAGAGTCCACTTAAGTAGCCAGGGAGAGGGATAATAAAGTAAGCATAGACTAACAGTGTTAAGAAGTACAAAGTTTTCACTGGTATTTTAGGCTCTTGCTCATATAGATTATTTTCATCTTCACTACTAAGCATAGTACCATTTTCCTCAGTCACCTCTGGATGAAGCGCAGTTTCAGTAGGTTTATCAGTTTTGCTTTCATCCTCTAACAAGCAGAAATCTTCAGAATAAAGTTCACAAAACTCCTCATCCTCTTTGCTTGCTAGTGCAGACAACGAACATTTTTCAAGTACTAGTAAAGTTTTCATATTCGCATCCTTTGTGCTTGCAGACTGAGAGCTTTTGGTCTCCGTCTCTTTTACATGTTCCTCAACTGTTTTTGACTGATCATTTTTACTCAGGTTAGAGTCACTGCCATAGTAGTCCCCCTCAGAATCACATTCTTCTTCCTTAATGCTGTAGTTGTTATTGCTTTCCAAATGGCCATTCAAACTGGAAAGGTTTGAGAGTTCTGAAGCACTTGAAGATAAGGCTTTGGGCCTGTGGCTACTACTTTCGTCACCCATTATTTTACTGAGCAGCTGAAAAGGCTCATAGATTACTTCAGAAAGGCGTCTTTTAGTATCTTCAATTTTAGCCTCCATTTCAGGTACTTTAAAAAAGGAACGAGTGTCAGAAGGAGATGTTAATGGGGATGAAGGGGCAGTTTTAGAATCACCACCTGTAGCTCGAGGTTGAGTGAACTGTTTGAAAAGATGCAAGTTCAGTTTTGAGTCAGGGGGTCTGTAAGACACAACTTCAGATTCTTGTTTAGAGGTGTCTGTAGACAGAGATTTCACTAAGGTTTTCATTAAGTGTCTGTGTCTCATCGGTGGGGTGGGTTCTTTTGGTTCCACATCTGTTGAAAGGGACTTGACTAAACTCTTAAAAGGCTTTGAGCTAGAAACTGTGGATGATGCACTAGAGCAAACGACTGACCTGGAAGGGGATGAGGATGGGGAAGACGACGGGTTGGCTTTGTGTTCTGGAGATGCTGATGAGGAGCTAACTACATGACACGAATGTGATGAAGGAGACAAAACTAGTGGCACTGCACTGAATACTTGGGATATGGAAGGAGAATCCAACGGCTTTACAGTGTCAGCAGTTGGCAGAACTGCAGGTGATGAGGACAGTAGTGATGCAGACTTGGCCATGTTAAGCGAGGTAGCTGGACCAGAAATATCATGGCCACTATGCTCAAAGCAGAGGTCTTCCTTGGCTTCAAGTGCTGTTACAATGCTTTGGTCATCTAGATCCTCATCAAGAATCTCCTTAAACTCTTCTTCCTCCTCTTCTTCCTCCTTCCCAAATGCAGAGAAATGAATAGTAATGGTTTCTCGGGAGACAGATCGCTGGACCTGTACTTTTGGTGCTGACTGCTTTGAGGACATTTCACCAGTTTTCTCTGCATGGCTACTGTTCTGACTTGTCATTGCAGGTCCCAGAGATGTGTCAGAGTCTGCAAAGAGAAGACAGAACTATGTTAAATGCATTTCCCCCCTCAAGACATCCTTATTTTCAAGTTTTAAGATAACCACAAGATATACAACAGTGTGTCGAAGCTTGCAAACCCAGAGCAAGGACAGAAGCATGTAAAAGTCTTTAGGTAGTCTTTATCATTCCATGATTTGCAAACTGAGGACAAATGATCAGGATATAAAATTGTCCAATAACTAGAGGCAAATTGAAGCATAACTAGACAGAAGTTTATTCTAAAAGTTGCCCTCTAAGAATAAAGAATTCCTAAGATTAAACACCCTTTACAAATATATTTTAGCAGTACCTCTAGCACAGTAAGATGAAGTAGCTCCAAACACCACAGTAATAGGTTGTATCAAAGTAGTCATCGAAAGAGCATGAATCATTCTGGACTTTCTGCTTTAGCAGACAGGGCACATTTGAGATATACTGCAGACAATATATGTATTTAAAGAATTCCCTACTGCCAGCAGTTTTGCTGTAAGAATGTGGAAGGACACTTCAGCAGAGGCAACGGTTCTTCACACTGACACTGCAAAAGTACTTTACCAAAACACAGATCTCTTCGATTCAGTGCACACAGGCTGCATGTAGGGTAAATATGCTAAAATGCCTGTCTTTTACAGCTGTTTTCACACATTTCATTGACCCATGAAAGTGGACTTAAGGTTCATTTCCATGAAGAGAAAATATTACATATATTCCAATTAAAGCACTAGTGGCTGTTCTTAAAGAAGGATTAGGAATTACAAGAAAAGCTCTGCCTTTTTGGCTGTGAAGCAGCACTATCTTCATTGTCAAGACAGCAAGTTTACCACTTTAGTAACTGAATTACTTTTCAGGAGCTGTTAAAATGCTGTAATCAAACTGTCTAGCAGAATTAATGAGGGGCCTTTGTCAACATTCAAAAAAGCAGTTCAGAAGAATGATGATGTGGTGTTGAAGAAACATGTACTTCACAAACAGTCTGTGTTATCAAGGATGGTATTACGCAGCACGCCAATGCCACCTGCTTGTCATCACTTTTCTACTAAAGGTTGTAGACCCTTATACTCGCTAGTGGCAATGCTAGTAAGCACTCTTTAACCTCTGCCAATAGAAGAGCTGGGTCATACATTTTAAAACAGGAAATTCTTGCTAACCAGTTCATCCAGTACAGTTGGATCAAAAGAGACCATCTGTCCACAACTTCCTACTCAGTATGGTTGTCCATTTTGTGGCTCGTAAGTTATTAACTAGCTTATTCCTTGCTTCTTCTAGCATTCACATGTTCTCCAATAGTTGTACAGAAGAATTCTGTACAACTGGATTCTATTCTGCTTCGTGCAAAGCCTCCAGGAATTTTTGTTCCAGTTTTCAATTCAGTTCTACTGCAAACCCCAGGGAGTCAGTTTGGGCTCAAACAACCAAAAAAAGTTTTCAGAATCTAGTCCAACTTTCTTCTACTTTCCACCTGAGCAGCCTATCACAAAAATGTTTCGGACAAAATATGAAGTGCTACACACCTTAATAGTGTCCATACCAGTGCGGTTATGGGCATGCAACCACTTTTATGCATAATTTCCCTAAGCCACATTTTCTGAGGTATGTGCATCTCATGAGGAATAAAAACAACAGCAACCAACCTCCCACAAAGTTCTGCCTCGGGTTCAAACTTTATTTTAACTATTACGGTGGAACTAGTTTCTTCTGTCCTCCCAAAAACCCCTCTGACATCTCAAAGGGGCAGCCAAGAGTAAATAAGTGAAGTCAGTGTCATTGAAGGAGCTGTACATCTAGTCCACTTAAATCATTAGTTTTCGTTCCACTTCTGCAGGTCAAGTATTATTTCCCTCAGCAGTATGAGCTCCCAGTTACTCAGAAGTTTAGATATGGATTAGTCAGGCATATGTACACGGAACTTGTTGGGCGCTCTGGTTGGGGAGAAACTCAGTATCTCACTTTCCTGATGGGAAGCACAGGCAGAGCTATCAGCATGCAGACTCGGTGCCAACTGTAACACGGGGGAAAAGGGAGAAAAAAAATCAGGGGGGGAGAAGGGGAGAGCCAGAGAGCCAGGGGTTGGAGCAAGCACGCTGTGCTTCCTCTGGCCCCAGCACATGACGCTACTGAAATGAGCTTCTGTTCTGCACTTAGCTTGGATCAGGCATGGAGCAAGGCAGAAGATCAATATTAACTCCTACTTCCCCTCAGCAAATAACATGTCTGACTTGTTATTTTTGATCAGCTAGAAATCCACAATTTTGGTTAGCTCTTCAGCACATGATATTTACACCGTACAGTTCTTGTGTTTAAAAAGCAGTTGCCAATACATACAGTGCTAATTACCTGAAACATGAAGGTTTTTTTTTTTTTTTCAAACACTCAAAACATACTAGAAAAGCATCTGCTACTTACCAAATAAGCAAGGTTTTTTCAATATAATAATTAACTAGCTATCCTATTAAGGAAGGAAATTCTTGATTAGTCATTATTTTCCTACCCTTCAATACATCACTGTACCATGAATTATGTCTCATAAAAGCACTCTCTTAAACCAGCACTATCAACAGGGCAGCAGGAAGTTGACACAACCCAACTGCACTTCGGCACCCCCACACACGACCTACAGGGTAACTCGTACCCAGCACCCTCAACGCCTGCTCCAAACGTCACTGCCCTTGCCCAAACCAATTTTCAGGAGCAGTCACTTCCATTTAGGCAAACATATATATTCTTTTAAACCGTGTTTGATCTTGCTGGTATTTTTTAAATCAAGTCTGTTGATAGCCCAGTTCTGCTGCAAGGCAATTCATCCTTTCGCTCTCTAGCCCCTCCACCACAAATCTTGGAAGGAAAGTGGACCTTTTTGTATGAAATTTTCAGAAGGTTTCTATATCGAAAAAGAAAAGAAAAGAAGAAAAACAACCTGCAATGCAAGAGCAACACCACAGTGCTATTTACCTGAGTAAATATTATATGTGCTTCTAGATACTTTATGCGCACTAGGTACTTTATTATACTTTGAATATTCACTGCGATTATAGCAGTAGCTTTCTCTACATCACCCCCAAGCTTTAAGCAAGTCTAAGTCTTCTCAACACTCTAGATGTCAATGAGAAACTTGCCCCTACAAACAAAGGTTTCTGCTGTTCTATTTCCCTTTTTTTTTTTTTTCAATCTATCCCTAAGCATTTTTCCTGTTTTAACTTCAAATGAATCTTTTTTTTTTTTTCTTCAAAGTAGATGTTTAGAAACTTTTCAAGAGGGAACAACATCAACATCCCTCATGCCCTTCTCCCACTAACATTTCCTCTACTAGGAGCTGGATTTTGATAACAGAAATGTCTTATCAGGTTCTTGCATCATGAAGATTTTCTCTTAAATCCTTCTAATACCCTCACCACCTCGTTTTTCCTTGCTCACTGCTTCCGCTCTTTTTGCTGTTCTCCCCTTGTGACTTAGGCCCTCCTCAGGGGGTTCAACCGCCGCTCCGTCCCCACAGAACCATCAGTCTCTCCCTCTTTTTTGAAGAGACGCAATTCCAAACCGTCCGGCTGCAGATTACACGAGTACCTGCAGAAATGTGCATTTTCACTGCCCCTTCTTTTTAAAGCCAGACTTCCCCACCTTCTCTGGCTGCTGCTGCTGTTGCTGTCAGCAGCGCTCGGTCAAGTCAGGCCACGCGCCTTTTAAGAGCGTTGCTAGAGGAACACGCGCTCTTACCTGCTCGGGGATGACTAAGTGATGCCTATTCATGAGAGGAAGACTTTGTATTTGCCTCTCCCAGCTCTCCCAGCTCACCTTTTGATATTGCACATGTTCCAGAAAGGGCTTGCGAGAACTGACTTAGACAATTCCCAAAGACAGTACAAGGAAGAGCATCAAAGACACGGTTTTCACTTTGAAGTTCCTTTTGGATTGGGGGCAGGTACAGGGGGGAAGCACACGAGCAACCGATACTTCTACCTAAAAGCACAAACAGCTTTCTCCAAAACAGGCAAACTCCCCATTCCTTCCTTTTCTGGGGGTAATTCTCTAGCTTACAGCCCTGAAAACACAGAGTCTGTGTGTGAGAAGGAGTGGTATTTATGGTATTGAAATATTAGGTATTTAAATGACTTGTTTACCTTTTCTTATCTCTTTGTATATTGATTATTGCGCATGACACATCCAGGACACCCTGTCCGCATATGCCAATTCTGCTCTCTAACAGAGCGAGCAACAATTTCCAAAGCAGAAACCATTCAACTCCAGGCAAATGTTTAAAGCTACAATTCTTCCAGCAACCCACAGAAAAGCAGGATCCACAGGAGGGGGAGAAGAGAACTCAGAGGAAGAAAGGTCTTGCAGTATTTTTGCCACTATGTGATAATGTGATTTTACATTAAAACTCTGAGTAAGATCAATTTTGCATTACTAACGGGCATATCTACATTTTGACCTAGGAGAGACATTTTTCACTTCACCAGCAGCTACTGGAGTTAGGGAGCCTGCACATCCATGGAAATCACGAGGAAGCTCATAAAGGAGATTACATTCAACTAAAACCGAAGTGTTGGACCTGACTAGCAAGATAACAGCAATTAAAAAAAGAATTCACAAAATACCACTCAGTGTTTCTGGTATCTTAGCTAAGCATCTATCCCTCTACACACACAGAGGCATCATATAAATAGGTATATTGTACAATTCCGGAAATTGCTCTCTTCACTCTAATGCAATTCAATGTGCAGTGGTTAGAATACAAAGATACCTTAGCTCTATATTCTATTTTTAAACCAAAGTAGATGCAAGCTTGCTTTGTGCTAACATTAAGCAAGAAAAAAAGGCTACAGGACAGATTTTTATTGCATGCAGAGAGTGGTTTCATTAGTTTTGCTATTTACTCATTTCAGAATTTCCATTTGTCTAGAATGTATGAAACTATTTTATTACATTCATCAAAGTAGAACGATCAGTAACATTAAAATAATGCTTTTACCCTGTGCACAAACCAAGGCCGATATCCCCTAGCAACTTCAATGTTTAACTGGACATTTGCTCCCTGCCACAGTTTACAACCTCCTCTTTCACAACACACCCACGCAAAGGGGTAAGGCAAGCTTTGGAGCACCTCAAGACCAGTAATAACAACACCTTGAGCAACTCCCGTGTATAAATATTCTCCACTTATCTCACGTTTAGTCTTCCATCAGCACAGTACAGAGTGCACAGGTTATGTGACTGAACAAACAACGTGCAAAGCAGTAAACTAAGAAAAAACTTAAAAGAACAGGACAAAGTTGCCTAAGCCTTGCTTATTTTATCTGCCCCTTCAAGGCTCAATTTAGCCATGTTTAATAACTAAGGAACATTCAGTAGAGCAAGTCAATGTTTTGCATAATCATTTAGTTGCAGAAACAGAACAGATGGGGAACTAAATTCAGACATATTGCAGCAGGCCAACCATTCCAATCATATTACTACTAGTTACTGCAACATCTATTGCAGGGGGGAAGAGGAGGGAGAATAGTACCCTGTATTAGTACAACACTTTCAGAAAATCTGTAGCAAGGTTAAAAATGCAGCGATTATTTTCCTGTTCATTACTGTTAACTGTAGACGGGGGGTGGAAAAAGTCTTTTCCACAAAATAAAACCTACCCTCCATTTGATTAGAGAGGAGAAATGGTATATTTGCTTAAAACTATCTCTGCAACTGAAACCAGGCACAACAAAAGACCTTATACTAATGTAAACCGGCCACTCTAGTGCTTTCAAACACTGTTCCTAAAGAGTGTAAACTCCTAGAAATACAGGGAGAAGCAACATTCAAAACAGGTTTTGCATCTACTTTGGTTACAGGAAGGCTGGTCAGAACCTTAACAGGGCAGAAAAAAAGGTCTGTTATAAAAAAAAAAAAAGAAAAAAAAGCTTTTAATTAATTCCTTTAGTTGGAAGCAAGTTGCAGTTACTGAAGACTCAGCTGTATGGCACCCCCAACTTGGTACCACTTTGGGCAATTCAGGATTTCGGAATGAAAGCTCTTCTAGGATATCATCTACAGAGGCTGTTTTCCTGCTGTTACAATTAACAAAGTTTTGTTCATTATGTAGGACAGAAGATCAAATAAGTGGTCATGAAATGAGGCCACATTACTCACATGTATTCTTAGTTTCATTTTCAGATTTTAGAGAAAGTAATGCATTACAGCTCTAGTTTAAATCTGCAAAGCTATTCAGACTTTCCTACATAAGAAAACCTTGTGTGAGCTGTTGCATTTATATTAAAGCAGCACAAACAGAAATATATAACGGTAAAATGTGGATATGTTCTGCTGTACTTTCCTCTACAAAAATAAAACAGAGCACCAGAGAAGCAGCTGAAACAAAATGCCAAGTCTCATTCCGCAGCTATGGCCACACGTTTTAATTTTCTGAACACTTCAATCAGTGTAATTTGAGCTGCAGCACGTACCCAATTCTTACTTAAGAAGACGAGAGGGCAAGTTCTGGGTTCAGGCACGTAAATATTGGAGAGGGAGCTAGAAGTCTTCAACAGCAAAACTGCAGGCCCAATTACAGGTGAATCAGTACTGAGTTGATCAGTTGGCAACAAGGACTTTGAAAGTGAAGTTTTGTCACAGCCCCAGCCCCTCTATTTTGTTTAAGTCTTAAGGCAGCAAAACTGTCAAATAACCTCATTTCTTAAATAAACAAAACCAAAGAGCCTAATTTTCACACTCAATTTTGCTTGGAGGACTAGAGAGGGAAGCAGAGGGGATTTCATTGTTACAAACATGTCCATCCACTGAAGGATGAGAAAGGGTTCTTGCTGGTATCCCATCACTTGATATTATCTTTATGCTCATTTATGATAAATAACAGATAATTCTCGAGCAGACAAAAATCCTCCTATCAAGTTAAGAACTAGAAATCTTTGTTTCAGGTCCTTCAGAACAAAGCACAAGTATTAGCAATCCTAGCAGTTATAGCCTTGATTTAAAGAATGCTTTAAATCATCAGAAATTTATGTCTCCAATAATCTTGGAACCATTTTGTCACAGAAATAGTCCAGAAAACCAAGTCCAGTGTGTTTGTCCAGAACGATCTCGCTGAGAGATCACAGCTAATGAAACACTACTTGTCATCTACATTTCGCCTCATCCAGTGCATTTATTGCACAAAATAGGATGCAAGAAAAACCATCAAATTTCAATATCTTTTCCTATCACCATTCAAAAGTCCAATTACCACAAATGAAACTCCTCTGGAATCCCCTAGCAGTTGATGTATTCCATGGTTAACATTCACTGTTCCTTTTACAGCTGCTAGTCATTACTTTTAAATGAACTACATCGCAAGTGTTGGTAATTACCATCACATGATACCCTTGTGAAGCCTTTGTGTCGGGGATCTGGTTACCCAGTCTGAAGATCATACGTTAAACCTTAAGCCACAGTAAGTCTACATCGACATAAAACACATCCATGTAAGATACACGCAATGGCACCCTAAAAAAATTCTACCCCAATCCAAGCAACTCCTCCCAGTCAGGTCAGCCAGGGAGCAAGGCAACAGAATGGCTGATCGGGATATGTTTGATCATGAATTTGAAGATTAGCAAACACAAAAACTGTAGTCAACGTTCTAAACAACTGCAAAATTAAGACAACCAGCACACAGTTTCACAAGCAGCAGAAGAGATAGTATTAAGAATAAATAAGCTTATCCACAAGAAGCTAAATAAAAAAGAGCAGCACTTCAAGGTGTCATCGTTGACAGGGCCTAATAAGAATCTTTCCTGGACTTCCTTCTCTAGATGGAGGAGGCCACGGCCAAAGGCAGGACACAAGAACAGCCACATTTGCATTCCCTCCATTTCTTGCATCAGGTAGAGAGTGGAGCAATAGTTAATGGATCAATTTAACTTATTAAGCTCTGCGGCTTTTTTGACGTGATTGGGGTAACTCCTGTTTCCAAAAGCCATGATATAGATTTTAATTGCAACATATTACAGGTCAATTACAGATTGCCTGCCCTTAAACAGCTGCTGTGCAGGCTTCATTCTTATTGAAATCAACTGAGTCAGAAAATGACGAGCACATCCCACAGCAGTTTTTTTTTTAATCCTAACCACTAAGAAACTACAGTAGGAAGGTACATGAAAGAAAAACAACTTGGCTAGCAATCTGAATTACAGGATCAAATTACTGAAGAACAGATACTAAGATACGACAATTCTCGTAAGGATAAAAAGACCAGTATCCTGTGATGATGCAAACTGAGGTCCTCATGCACCTTAGAGCCCTGTTGTTCAAACACTTATTGACAGGAATACAAAAGGCTCCTTCCTACTCTGTTTTTCTTCTCTTGAAATGTGGGTACAGGTAACAGGCCTGGAAAGATGATCTGTCATGTGAAGATTCCCCCCCCAAAAAAGTTACTTAAGACTGGGAAAAATTGAGACTTTTTCCTCTCCTTTCAGCAACATTGACCTAGTCCAACATGGGTCTTCCACAGCATAAATCAGATCAAGAACTTAAAATAAAACACAAAGCTCCCTGAAATGTTTAGTTAGTTAACAGTTTTCTGGAGTTTTTACATGCTCCTTCAAAAGTATTCTCACTGCCTCTGGTGAAAAGTAGTTTTCAATGATCAATAAAGTAGGACGCAAAACAGCGATTCCTCATTCCTCCCCTCTCAGCTCAGCAATTATTTCTTCCTATATAGTATAATTCATTTTTATAACATGTAGGCACAGCTACAGGTCCTTATCTTAGCGGGAAAGCAGACCTCAAGTAAATGAAATAATCTGTAAATGAAATCATTCCTCCAAGCCTCCATCAGAGAGGCACAGTCTCAATCCCGACCAGCTACAAAGGGAGCTGTGGAACATGCAAGCACATTCACTTCCTCAAATGTTAATCAACTTAATTATCTCCAAGAATCCATATCGGACAATTCCTGAAAGTGAAAAGGTCAGAAGGTGGGTGCCTTGTGGCAATATTTACCCCGATTCCCTGGCCGTCTGCTGAACTCCTAGAGCAAAAGTTGTTGGCCAGTTTTTGTAGAGATCCCAGTTCTGCTTTCAGTTCAGCTGGTACACACCAGAACACGCGTGGACTCTTCACTTGCACTCTCCTTTGCAGTTATTTCCTGCTAAAAAAAATGTGCCCAAATGTTCCCTTCTGTGTTCCATAACATTTGCTTTTCAGTAACCAGATACTACTGTTACATCTGTCTAGCAAAAGCCGCAAAAGCCTTCAGTACTGTAAAAGTTCCTACTATTGCAGACATAAATAATGTCGATACATTCTCAACTACTTAATAAAATAAATAAGAGCTATTGTATTCCACTGCAAGTGGGTTACATTTTGTGCATGCACAGAAAGTATCATTAAAGTAGCTTCAAGGAAATTAATTTTAGTTCATCAATTTTGAGGTCTTGATTTGCTAGGAGATAAAAGAACAGCAAAAGTCACCAGATGGATTCAAAAGGGCAACAGGAAATAACTGTCACCGAGCCATATCCTGCTTTGTTCTATTATAGTATTATGCAGACTATTCTAATTTCACACATGGCCATGTTCTTATATATGTGCTTAATGCATCCACAATCCATCCATTTAGCCGATGGAGCCAAGCAGTTGCACAAGCTCTGAACTACGCACGCTGCTAGGAAGTGGGAGGTGCTCACGTCCTCATACCTCACCATCCATCGGGGCGCAGTCAGCTAAGCAAGGCTTGTAATTGCTGAAGCACGTGGGCTCAGAGCAGCCCAGCATGGGGCAGCTACAGGTGTCCTCCAGCAGAAGGTGACACATCGGTGATGACCAGCACCCGAGGAACCCTGCCCACCTCCGAGGGGCTGCCTCTGCCATTCCACAAATAACTAAGGCTTTAAAAAAACAGGGTTAGTTGCTTTGGGGGAGAAAAATGGGGGAAAAAAATAGTACAAGTGGAAGTCTGCACACAGGATGAAAACCTTTCCACTTTGCATTCAGCACTGCTAGAAGAGACAATTAAGCCATGGAACCATCTCTATACCCCCTAAAAAGTCTCCTGAACTCCAAGACGGAGTTGGAAGTGTGACCATAGCTGGTAAGGTCTTCATAACAGCACTAACAGTCTGAGATCTGACTGGATGACACAGATCAGCACGCTGATTTATTAGCAAAATTTATTAGCAAAATTTATTTGGCTACAGGCATCAGAGAAGGTGGTCTGCAAAGCCACTAATTACTCTGTATTCATTCTCTGAGTAGGAAGACATCGGCAGAACTGTCAATATATAGTAGTTTGAATTGGTAAATACACTGCTCATGGCACATGGATGCAAAGAGCAGTTTAAAAATTAAATGCTGGGAAAGTAAAGTGGTAAAATGAAATTCAAGGTACAGCAGCAATTGCTTCATTTTTTTTTAATCTTAATTGTGATGTTTTAGCTTGACCGAAAGAATAACAAATATCTAGTTAGAACTGAGTAATTTTGGTTATTAAAAATAAATCTGAAAAGTTGTCCCAACTCATGAGAAAATGTTTTGAATATCCGTTTTGTACTCGCACTGTTACCACTCCACAGCTCAAAGCTGCATGACAAATCAGAGGTCCCTACAACCAAACACTACTGATGCCCTTAAACGCAACACATCTCCAAAGGGAAACTGCGAACACGCGCTCAGAGCCCACGCGCTGCTCTAGAAGCACCGGGCACGACTCTCCGCTTGCTGTGACCTCCAGGCAGTGCCAAGGCACCTTGGAGAAGGAGCCCTGTTATCTCAGAAGAAACGGCCAGCTGGAATTACACAATAGGAGCTAGTTTGTGTGCACTGCTGCTCCTTTCTCCTCCCACATCTCTCGGTATTCACTAAAAACACTAGATAAAGGCAAGACTATTATATCTTTGCGGAAAACAAATAAATAAATTCTAGGAGTTGTTATGCATTTGCTCAGTCGGTTTATTAGAAACCCGACAAAGTCTTTATTAACTAGCATATTTTTGAGTTGACAGACATTTTGGATTATCCCCTCCTACTTTTTCCCCTTTCTCACAATTTGTTTCTTTAACATTTCAAGCCAAGTTGAAAAGGAAGAAGTATGAAAGTGATTAGACATAAGGAACTATTGCTGAGGAGGTCTTACAAAGACAAGCCTTATCAGCCTGAACAGCAGTTACAAACAAGAGAAGGAACATATGGATCATTTCATTTACCACCAACACACACTTATCTATGCACTCAATCCCAAACATTACACAAAAGTACTGGGACAGAGAGGGAAGCCCCTCCAGGCAACAGAAATGACAGATGTGTTAAGCCAGCTGAATGGAATTACCCAGCCTGGAAGGCAGCCAGGGCACAGAAATCCTCACCTTGCACTCGCTGCTCTTGGGCAGGGAGACAAGCCAAACCCGGAGGACGCAGGCAGGAGAGGCGGGAAGGCACCGTGGGAATGCGCGGGGCCCCAACGGGAGGAACATTCTGCAGCCTGCAGAATCATGGGCACGTCTGTCCCAGGCCAGCGTCCCAAAGGAGAAGACAGGACAACGTGCTGCAACTGCAGGGGTGAAGACAGCACCAAACCTAGACGGAAACTTTCACTCTGTCTGCTTTTAGCATCACATGCTAAGCAATATTTCCTAATGAAACTACCAAAATCACAAGAATGCGAGCATGACTCTCTCTCTTCCTCCCAAGGAAGCCTTTTTCTTCTCTTTGGGCTCATAAAAGCCATTTTTGCTCTCTCAATCTTAATCACAATTTCCGACAAAACAAATTTATTCCTGCAGCTATTTAATTTCAGATCATAACTTCATTACAGCTCATGGCAGGTTGCAGTTGCATTCCTCAGTACTTCATGATCTTGTGTGAAATTCCCAGCATTAAAGGAGATAGTAGCTTGGTTTGTGCTTATATTTTTGAACTTTAGTTTTAAAAACAAAGTATAAATTAAACTACATGAAATTCAGAGCAAAATCTAGAGTCTTACTGTTCTGTTTTCTTGTTCCAATATGCAAATACGCATTTTAACCCTGAGCATCCCATCTCCTCCCAGCCTTGGGTGTGCAGTGGTTACATGACAGCCTTGCACCAGGGCACGACGCGCTGGCGGGATCAGCGACCCCCGCTTCCGCCATCCCTAAGGGATGCTCCTGTCGCCCAACACCACTGGGGTCACAGAGCGTACCAGTTTCTGAACCACGGAGACACTATGTAATGAATGCTGAAGCCCAGTTCATACAACTATTCATTTGTACCACCCTTCTGGCCTTTATGGGAAAACACCAGTGTTTACGATGCTTTATTGATCGTCTGTTATCATTTGACTTCCATCATCTCTTGTCTTCTGGAGCACTGACTTAACCACTGTGCAATGTATTGATCTGGATTTTGCATAGCAGAATAACATGCTTTGCTCTTTGGAAAGACAGAGTTAAAATAAAAACAGGAGAGAAATACAATGAACAGAGAAGTACAGTACAGAAATGCAAGATGACAAATCAGAGAAGCTGCCCTTTTTCACCATGATATTCTCATAGCTTTTCAAAGACAATAATTGATCAGGGAGAGGAGTTCTGAGTACCCAGAGAATAAAGCAGACTGGTAAATAATCTGATGCTGCTGAATGCCTCTCTGAAGAGAGCAGAGCAGGGGGAAAACAAATGCGAAACTTACACAGCTTAGTGCACAAAGATGTTTCAGCCATTCCAACCCACTTTCCTGTCAAAACTTGCGCCTCTGCTTCCCATCTCTGAGAACTTCCAGCAAGAGCAGACTGCCTTTGGCTAACAGAGAAGTTTTGAAGTAACTCATCTCAGAAGCCCTAATTGAGCAATTTCAACACTCATGTTTTATTTTTCAAATACTGGTCGTGAAGGATTTTCATTAAAGAATCACCACAATACAGCTGTTAATCAGTTCTTAAAATGGATATCCCATAGCCTCGGGGATCCAAAATAATTCATTAAAGTAACAGCCTTGCTCCACAGCAAGACACTACAGAGAAGGCAGGTAACACAGGAACAGCACGGGCAAATGTTGCATTACAGAACGGATCTGTTTGGAACTTCTAAGCCTGCCAAAGAGAGGATTTTTTTGCTCTGTCAGTATGCTCAAAAACCTCATGAAACTAAGTTAACACACAGCAGTCTTCAATGCAAGATTATTCCAATAAAACACTTACACAAAAGAACCTCAACATATACCTATATAACAAAAAAAAAAAAAAAAAGCCAAAGTAAATTCTTTTGGACCTATTAAGATGCAAACTCACCCCAAATCCAAACTACTCCATTCTGAAGGACAGCACACAGAGGTGCTATGTCTCCAGGTAGTTAAATCTTAATTCTCACAACACTTTTGAGTGAACAGGCACCGAGGCCAAAGCTATTTTGTGAAGTTGAACGGCCGCAGACCACTGGTCTAATCACCGTGTCTTGTTGTCGCAGGCCAGGATGGCATCTTGATCAATAATTATTAACTTTCTACCTTCAAACTTTTGAGTTTGCCAAATTAACAGAAGGTTTAAAAAGTGAAACGGACCAAAGCAGATCATCCACAGTTCTGACATGGACATTGGGTCCTATATTTTTATGGCACTGTAATCAGGATTTTGTACCACACACACAGAAAAGAACTAGCAGCACAAAAAGCACCCAAAGCTTTGCTGCGTGGATCTCACCACTTACAGCAATCCTCTATGATAATGCAGTAATGCACATCTGGGTAGTCGCAGGCCGCATCGGTAGCAGGGTCTTCTTCCCAAAACAGGTACCCCTAAAACCGGGGTGTACTGCCCTCATCAAGTTGAGACCCAGGCAGCTCCACCTCTATGTGAGGAAGAACTTCTTTCCTGTCAGGGTGCCAGAGCCCTGGCACGGGCTGCCCAGAGAGGTTGTGGAGTCTCCTTCTCTGGAGATCTTCAACCCCGCCTGATGCCACCCTGTGCCCCTGCTCTGGGGGTCCCTGCTGGAGCAGGGCTTGGACTGGGTGATCCCTAGAGGTCCCTGCCAACCTCAACCATTCTGGGACTCTGTGTGATTCTGTGATTGAAAAAAAAGTCAGCAATCAGCAAGAGCTTTATGCATAATATAGGAACATGCATCTGAGCACCGAAATGAGAAGCAAAGAATGGGGAGTTCTAACCAATAATCCTGAAGTTTTATTATTCCCTCTGGAACATGCAAAGGCATCTTATGTGTGGCTATTAGACTAGAGAGGTTTCTGAGAGACAGACAACGCTGCACTTTGCGGTTCTGCCTTCACTAAAAAGTTAAATACTCTTTCTACTCAAGCCACATATGACTGGGTTATTTGGTTGAACTTAGAGAAACCATTTCCATATTGTACATATCGTGAAGTTTGCTGTTCCCATTCCCAGCTATAACAAAAATAATGATATAGGGGAGCATAAGCCCATTTCCATCTCCTCCTCATGAAGATAATACCTCCCCCACAGACCTGTGCAATAGAAGCCTGAAGCAGTAACAGAAAAACAGAAGTGGACACAGTACTTGGCTGAACTTAACCTAGCTAAGCACTCTCATTCTTACATCTCTCACCTGTACCTTCTTTCTGTCAACACCAACATTTAAGCAAACAACCTGCTGTGCTGTTGAATTATTCCTCACAGTATGGACCCACCTTCCCCCAGGAAGAAATAACACAGGATTTTCATGCTTTTGCTTCACAAAGTAAGAAGGAGGGGAAGATGAAACCTAGGTAATTAAACATCCTGTTCTAATATCCTGGTTTAAGAGCATAACTGACAGTATTTGGTAGACAGAACCCACAATATTTTCTACCTTCAGAGTATTCTGCTAAAAAACAAAACTAAAAGCCCCTACAAGATCCTTGTTTACAAAATACATGCTCCTCTTGAAGGGCGGATTAACACTGTTTCTGTAGACTCACTGAAAGGACGTCCCAAAGGATAGCAACAGCCACAAACAGCCAAGTCAAGGCCACTTGCATGCACAACAAAACCAAATGCTAGATAATGACCAAATACTTCAACAAAATTAGTTCACATCAGTATCCAGTTTTCATACAAAGTCTTCTTTTGCACTAAATCATGTTGTGAATGTGGCAAATTTCACATTAAAAGAAAAGTGTATTGGAGCTATTTAAAAAAAAAAAACAGATACAGAACTTTGCTGAGCTACACAAAGCTGTGAGCTACAGTCATAGCAGCTGCAGATATTGTCACAGGCAAGAGAGAAGAGACCATTCAGTGGTAGGTGGCCTTCAGATCAACTTAGCTGAGTAAAGCTGGAGACCTTTAAGCAGCTGAGAAGTACTAAAAACCAAAAAGCAAGTTAGAAT